GAGGGGGCGTGGCCTCCCGCAGCCACCGGGGGACACGGGCGGCGGTGGCGGCCCCGAGCTCTGGCCCGGGAGGCAGCAGGGCTGCGGGGACAAGGTGTCCTGTGTCCTGTGAGTCAGCGGGAACGGTGCGTGTCCCCAGAGAGCCCCAGAGTGACACCTCACGGGTACACGGGGACAGGACACAGGGAATGGCTTCTCTCTGCCAGAGGGCAAGGGTAGATGGGATATGGGGAACAGATTCTTCCCTGCAAGGGTGCCGATGTTCTGGCACAGGGTGCCCAGAGAAACTCTGTCTGCCCCATCCCTGGAAGTGTGGAACTGGATGAGCTTCAAGGTCCCTTGCCACCTAACCCATTCCATGATTTCATGCCACCGTCACAGGACAGTGTGGGTGCTGATGGGGTGAACTCAGGTGAGAAGCGCCCTGTACGGGCTGACAACAGACGGTACCAGGGCTGGAGGGACATGACCTGAGCTGGGTTTAGGTGAGGGGCCACGTGTCAGCTTCGGCCACCACAAAAGACTCAGGGAGGTGAAGCTCTGCAGGAAGTGGGGCAGGAGCTGCTGAGCACCTCCTGGAGGCTTCCCTGGGGTAGCTGTGCCCACCCAGCCCTCCTGGACTGCACCCCACAGGGTTGCCTGTGCCATGCTGAGCCCCGTGCTCCTCTAGGGCCCTGTTCTGCTGCTGGGTCATGTCCCCATTGCTCCACAGTGGGAACGTGGAGCAATTTGGGAAGYGGACAGAAAGGAGGGAAAAGCTGCCATTTCCTGTGCTCAGGGGAGTTGGCAGCTYCTGGTGCTGTTACCTGTGGAACAAAAGTGACACCCTGAGGAGCCACAGGAGTGYTCAGGCCCCTGCAGAACCGCTCCCTCCTGTCCTGCCGGGCTGTGGCCTGCTCAGCCCACACCCCATCAACTCAGCAGCCCCCACACCCACCGTGGGGGTGGCTGCCCCATGGGCCATTCCCTCCCCAGACCAATGTCCYTAGAGCAGCGCCACAGCCGTGGATCCACATGGGGACACTACCACCAGGATGTGGCCATGAAACCGGGGCTCCTCTGAAGCCCTGGGGCCGACCCCCTGCCCCCCATGAGGGTCCCCGCAGTGCTGTCCTCCTCGGTGAGAGCTGAGACCCACAGCCCTGCCAGGCTGTGTTTCTTGACAGGCTTTACCCTGTGTGTCATACCTCAGGAATGACCTTGGTTCAGGATTTGGGCCCTTAAGCCTGTACTTTCTGGGATAACTCAAAGAGAAAGATCAGGTCCAGTCCCTCTTTTCCCGGTTTCTTTCTGGGGCTGGGGTGAAGCCACGTCTTCCTCTCAGGTCCCCAATTGCCTTGGGCTCAGGTGGGGAAATGGGAATTGTCCCTTCCTTCAGCTGCCAGGAACTATAAAGAAAGGAAGGAACCATAAAGAAAATTTTTCCAGCGTCCTTCTAATCCTACCCTCCTGCTTCTTATTCCCTTAGGAGTAGTGGTGGTGTCCTTGTGGCACTGCCGGGTTCTGCTCCCTCTTTGAATGGGGGGTGCCCACTGTCCCATGTGGCCGGGGGGAAAATGAGGTAGCCTGAGGCTGTTTGGGGGTCCCTCCCCAGGAGATGAGGACATGGCCCTTGTTGGGGRCTGTTCTGGCTGAGTGTTGGTCCCCTCCCTGTCCCCAAAGGCAGGGTGGCAATGGGTGAGCCTGATGATATGTGGGGCAGAGCATGGCAAAGGCACCAGCCACTCCTGCCCTTCCTTCTGCYCAAGCTGGAGCCCATGGGGTCACCAGGCACCACGAGCAACTCTGGTCCCAATTCTTTCTCCTTTCCTGGTCACTCTGGGCTCTGGTTGTGGCCACAACTGCTCTGGTGGCCCACAGGTGACCCAGGGGTGCCCCTGGCTCTGTGCAGGGCCCTGTGAGCTGCATTCATGACCTCCCAAATGTGGGAAAGGGGCTCATTAATCACGTTATCAGCTTGTGTTGCTGCTGTGRAAGCCTTGGGCCAGGCTCCACAAAYACCTTTGGATCCCAGGTCTGATCYCTTGCTCTCTCCTGGGGGCTGTGMTGGGCRATGGCACAGGATGGRCAGGAGGCTGCTGGTGTCCTTGCCATCCTCTGGGCAGACAGGAGGTTTTTCTTCTTACCCTGTGCACAAAGGCAGCACTGCTGCAGTTTGGGGGCTGCGGAACTCCCTGGTTCCCCAGCCTCTGCTGGGCTGTGCTGGAGGGAGAAGRAGGGACTGGTTATGGGCAAGAGGCACAGTGGGATTCTAGAGGGCTGAGAACGGATTTATTACCAGCCAAAGCCTCTGAGCTCGGGCTGCTTGCTGCCTCAGTGCCCGCTCTCACTGTTCCCTGCTCCTCTCTTCCACCACGAAGGGTTTGCTGACCTCCTTGGGGAACCCTGCCCCTGTCACCTCCCTGCTGCCTCCGTCTGGATGCTCCTGAGAGCAGGGATCTCCCACCACAAAGCCTCTGCCAAGCCCGTGAGTGCTTTTCCTGCCTCTCTGCCATCTCAGTGTTCCAGAGCCTGGTGTGGCTCTGTTGCAGCCCCATCCCTGCCCTGGCCCAGAGCTGTTTGCTAGGTGAGATGCTTTCCTTGGAGTTTGGGAAGGGCGCAGAGCTGGGAGGGAGGTGACTCATTATGTCTAAAAAAATCCCATGGCATGTCAACCCTCCTGATTGTTCTCATGAAAAAGGCTCAGGATCTGCAGAGCCAGGTGAGGAGGGAAGAGCTGGAAAAGACACATGTGGGGAACAAACAGTTGCCAGCCTRGTCTGGAGGATGATGTCCCTGCCCATGCAGGGGGGTGGAATGTGATGAGCTTTCAGATCTCCTCCAACCCAAACCATTCCATGACTCTATAATTTGCCATTTGGGACATGGATGTTTGTGCTGAAGGAACCTGGGACCACTCATCTGCATGCTGATGATGGGGCAGGGGCACAGCTGAGCTCTGTCCAGGAGCAGAGGGAAACCAGGAACCCAGGAGTTTGGGGCTGCTTTCTTGGAAATAGAAGATTTGTCTGTGAGTCAGGGCAGGACCAGAACTGGAACTGTGCAGAGARAATTGGGTGGGAGCCAGGGGGAAAAAAACGCCTCAATCTTGGCTGAAGGGTTGTTTTTCACTTCTAATGTTTCCTGGTGTGTGCACGGGGAGAGCCGGGTCAGGCAGAGCCTGGCAATCTGTTTCCTCAGTGCCCCATGGTGCAGAGCAAGTGCAGGGRAGCAGGAGAGACAGAGGGGCTTATTGGGGGCTCTCTGTGCTGTCAGTGAGGTGCTGGGGTGGGGGAGACCTGGCAGGAGATGCCAAGATGGACATGGAGCTGGGGCTGGGATTTCCCAGCCCATCCCTCGGATTTGCTTCAGTTTGTTCCAGGCTTAGGATGGGGGAATGAGCAGTTTTCGTTGTTTTCTGTGTTTTCTGGATGTCTGTGAGCTGGCCAAGGAAGACCCCCTGAGCCGGGTGAGTGCAGGAATCTCCTTCCCAGGGAGGACCCAGAGCTGGGGCTCCGCTCCTGTGCTGCTCCTTTAAGCCCAGCCCGACGCTGGCTCCAGCAGCCGATGGCTTCAAGCATGTGTCGGTCCTCCCTCAGGAAACTGCAAGCCCTGGGACTTGAAGTCACGCCTGCGGCTCAGGAGCTGCTGTAACCTCCCTGGAATGTGCCCTCAGATGTTTGTCTTTCGATTGGAACTCATCAGTTCCTGTGCTGTGGTGTTTTGGGCGAAAAGCCTTGTCTTAGTTTGAAAGACTGCCCAATGAAGGCAGGGACTCCCCTTGGAGTGATGGATATGACCCCCCCTTCTCTCCGAATTATTATAGCTTTGAAAATCATGAGCTTTCAGGGAAGCATATGGGTAAAAGGGAATAACAGTTTTTACTAATATGTATAACAAGGTGAAACAAGTAACAACAACGATAGCAACGACCACCCCAACCACAAACCCAGTGACAGCCTCACACAGAGACACACCCTCCCCTTTGGTGCAGTTCCAGTCCCAGCCGGCAGGGGCGCTGTTGGCTCCCGGCCGGGCAGGGCGGGTGCGATGATTCCCCGGCGGCTGCAGGGGGCGCTGTGGGCGGGTCCCGGCTGGTTCAGATCTCCCGGTGGCCAATGGCGGATACAAATCGACAGAGCTGGGCAGAGAAAAAGTTCCTCTGCAAACTCACAGYGGAAAACATCGATCTCAGTGCTCCGCTGGACAGCAAGAGACCCCAGAACAGCCAATGAGAAAAGAGATGAGCAGAATCCCGTGGCTGCAGACAGGATGCAGCCGAACTCGACCACTGCAGCTGGAATTTCAAGGGTCCCCGGCAAGGCACAGGGGCAGAACATGACAGTGCAGCAACGGCTGGAGATGCTGGGCTCTGCAGAAAGCAGCAGGCGAGCTCTCCCCTGCAGGCAGCAGGTCAACTGTCCTCCCCCGAGCCAAGCAGGGCAGGAASTGAAGCTACCCCTTGCCCCACACACACACACCCTCCCCGAGCCCAAAACTCCCATGAGAACTTCCCTCTCTCCAAAGAGAGGGATAAAATAAACTGCCAGGCAGGAGGAATGCCCAGGGAGATCCTTCAGGTGGGGCRTAGGTTCTTTTTGTCTTCACCAATCGCCCAGMCATCAAAAGGAAGACCTGGCAATCAGTGTATCCCAGCAACAAAATGGGAAAGAAGAATTCCCCAAGAAAGGAAACAAAAGGAGAAACCTTAACTCACAACAAGCCTCTTCCCCATCACACCRTACTTCCAATGGGAACTCAGTGCACCCTGCCGGGGTGAAGGATCAGGTCAGCTTCCTGTCCCGTGGAGACCTCCTTCCCCAGGTGCCAGGGACCAGCCTGTTCCCATACCCAGCCCTGTTCCCATATCCAGCCCTGCTCCTGTACCCAGCCCTGTTCCCATATCTAGCCTGCTTCCATATCCAGCCCTATCCCCATATCCAGCCCTGGTCCCACACCCAGCCCTGTTCCCATACCCAGCCAGTTCCCATATCCAGCCCTGTTCCCATACCCAGCCCTGATCCCGTATCCAGCCCTATTCCACGGTCCAGCACAGCCAAGGGGTTCACTGTGCCTTGGCCCTCTGTCCTTCCGTTCTTCACTTCCCCCTGTCCAGCAAAGGCTCTCAGAGGGCCTTGATCCTGACTGGTTCCATAGAATCAGAATCCGTGGTTTGGGTTGGAAGGGACCTTAAAGCCCATCCAGTGCCACCCCAGCCATGGCAGGGACATCTCCCACTGTCCCAGGCTGCTCCCAGCCCCAATGTCCAGCCTGGCCTTGGACACTGCCAGGGATCCAGGGGCAGCCACAGCTTCTCTGGGCACCCTGTGCCAGGGCCTGCCCACCCTCCCAGGGAACAATTCCTTCCCAATATCCCATCCATCCCTGCCCTCTGGCACTGGGAAGCCATTCCCTGTGTCCTGTCCCTCCATCCCTTGTCCCCAGTCCCTCTCCAGCTCTCCTGGAGCCCCTTTAGGCCCTGGCAGGGGCTCTGAGCTCTCCCTGGATCCTTCTCTCCAGCCTGGCTCTGGAGCAGAGCAGAGCATTCCAGTTTTGGATGGTTCCTGTGCTGCAGTGCATAGGCCAGTCCCAGTCACCCTTTTCAACAGAGACTTTGTCCTTCAACCTCATCCTGACCCCCAAATCCTTTGGGTCAGTCTCAAACTACCCAGTTTGGCCCAGTGCCATGCAGGGACCTCCAGCCAGGTCTCCCAGTGGCGTCCAGTCCCTGTCCTCTGCACACACAGATGGTCAGAGGCTGTGGCAGGGCAGAGACCCGCTGCCCATTCCAGGAATCTGCAGGATTCCTAGCTGTGTGGAGGCTAGGGCAGGGGCTGGGGCAGGGGCTGGTTTCAGTGAAACCGTTGTTGGGGCTGACTCAGAGCCTCCCACCGCAGGTTTTTTGCTGGCTCGGCACTTTTACAACCCTCCCCCTCTCCATCCCCCTCCTCCCACCCCCAGCTCCGTCATCCTGTGAGGATGCTGAACTCCATCTACTGCCCCCGGAGTTGAGAGAGGCCCCTTGCCCTGCTCAGAAGTTTCCCAAAGCCTGTGTGTGCTCCATGCCTGATTCTGTCTTAGCACGATTTGAGCCATGAGCACTGATTTGGGGTGAATTTGCACGTTTTGGATTGATGCCCACCTGGCTTTGGAGGGGCAGCATATTTTTGGGCTCTGTGCTCAAGCAGGGCTGCAAGGGGAGGGATCAGGATCCAGCTTCTTCTCTGTGAGCCCTGGGAGCACCCCCAGCCCTTCCCTGGATCTCTCCTGCCCAGGGCTGGGGCCAGGGTTTGCTTGCCCCTGTCAGCACGGAGCAGGTGGGGACATTCCCKGCCTGGTGGCATCRGAGCTGCTCCAGCCTCACACAGAGRGGCTGCAGGGATGGGTGGCCACCCCAAATGGGACAGGATGGGTTGGATGGGTACAAACTGGTCCTCACAGCTCTTCCTGACCTCCTAGAGGATGGAAGTCGAGGCCCAGGGAGAGAAGGAACAGAAGAGCAGGGAAGCTCCACGGGGATCCAGGGCTGCTCCCTGCAAGGGGGTGGGAGTTTGGCAGTGAAGGGAGGGATGGAGGAGCCCCATAAAATCCTGGACCCACAGGCTTCCCCAGGAGGGGTGAGGAGCCCTAAGGACCCAGCAGCACCCTCTGGAACATSCCAGGGAAGGACAGCAGCTCCCGAGACAGCCATGCCCCAGCCAGGAGCATCTCTGTGCTCCAGCCATAGAATTACAGGCAGCTTTGTGCTGCAGCTCCCTCCCCGGGCTGGACTCCCCGATCCCAGCGCCTCCGCTGGCTCCTCGCACAGCCGATCTCCTCGCTCCCTCTAGTGGGATCGGCACGGCGGCGTGGGCTCCTGCCCGGGCACACCCGTGTCCTTGTTCTCCTCTCAGTGTCCCCCTGGAGATCCTCCCCTGGACCTGCTGGGTTTGATCCCTGTACCAGCCCCAAAGCCCTGCTCCCCTCGCTGCTCCCATGCAAGGAGTGGTACCTCCCCCACAGGACACCCCAAAAGATCGCAGAGGCATTTTCATGGCTGATGGCCCCATCCTGCCCCAGTGCTGCCCTCCCTGAGGCTTTGTGCACACACGGGTGCCGGGAGGTGTGAATTCACCTTCAAACATCCGTTTTGCAGCTGTGGCYGTGTCAGATGTGCGGCCACCTCTCACTTGTGCCGGGACCCCCAACACCGCTGCTTTCACTCAGTCAGTGATCCGGGCACAGCRTCTCCCCTCCCGAGGGGGTGCAGGCTGCCAAACCACCCAGGGATGGCCCTGCTCCGGAGGGGCCCAGGGGACCCACAGGTGGTGGGTATTGGGTTTACTGTGGTTCTGAAGTTTATTGGGGGCCAGGAATAGATCTTGTGGGGGATGTCTGAAACTGCTTTCAACAGGAGGATCTCCTGCATGGGAGACCAGTTTGGCTTGGCTGATCTATGTCTAATCTATTTATATAGATTTATCCATATCTAATCCATATTGAATCATCTTTACATCTTGAGGGTTGGTTTTGCACCAAATAGGTGTTTTGGATTTTTTTTTTTCTGCCACGAAGCACTTGTATATGTGCCCTCTGCACCTCCCAAGCTGGCCAGGTGATGGAAACAACCTGGGCAAGGAGAAAAACGTTGTCCCTATCCTGCCTGGAACATTCTGTGATGAATCTCCTGCAGGAGCAGTGGGATTTCTGTATCCCAGCCACGTCCCGTCCTTCCCCAATCTCTGCTTGCAGTTGGAAGGGCTGCTCCGGGAAATTACTAAACCCCCAGTTTTTGTGGCTGTGGTAGGATCCCGGGAACAGGAGACGGTTCCTTCCTTACCCAGATAGCAGGAGGGCATTCCCCGGTGGCCATGAGCTGGGATTTGGGGGTTTTACACCGTGGCAAGGAGAGGAGGGACAGGAGGAGTGCCTCGGGGGGTTCTGTTTGCTGGGTTTGGATGTTCTCGAATGGGAGAGGGAGGAGGAAGAGAGGAGGAGGAGGAGAGGAAGGGAGGGGAGTGGAGGGGAAGGAAAGGGAGGAAGGGAAGAAGAGGAGAAAAGGAGAGGAGGAGAAGGGCGGAGAGGAGAAGAGGAGGAGGAGGAGAGAGAAGGGGAAGGAGGGAGGTGAGGAGAAGGAAAAAAGGGGAGGGGTAGAGGAGAAGACGGAGGGAAGGAACCGCCCAGTCCCGTCCCAGGGAAGCTGCCGGAGCCTGGCGGCGGAGCTGTGGCCGCKCCGGCCCCGCAGATGTTCCCCGTGCCCCTGTTCCTCCTCCTGCTTGTCCCCGGCAGCGCGGAGCCCCCGGGGGTCACAGGCGAGTGTCAGCCGCAGGGCCGCTCCAATTGCGGGGTGCCCGAGGGGCTCCCCCATCTTTCGGGGAGGTTGGGCTGAGCTGGGGCGSTTTGGGCGGCGGGGGAGAGCGGGTGAGGGCGGCACTGCCCCTCCGCACGGAGCCGGGAGGGAGGGAGGGGGAAACATTGCCTGGCGCCTGCTCTGAGCCGCGAGGGCGACTCCGGGCTCGGGCATGCCTCAGCTCTGGGGAAAAGCTTTTAGGGGCAGGACGGGAAGGGACTTGCGGCTTTCCTCGGCTTTCCGCTCCTGTTCCCGGCAGGGACCCGCGGGGGGCTGTGCCGGGGGTCCCACAGCTCCATTCGTGCCCCGCCGGAGCACAGTGGCATTTTCATGTCCCCGCTGCAGGGTTTGGAGCTGTTGGTGAATCAGGAGCCCAACACGGCCCGGCCATCCGAGAGTGGGGGCAGAGGTGAGGGGAAGGGTCCGGCCCCTCTGCCCTGTCTCGGTGAGCCCCCACCTGCAGAGCTGCCCCGGGCCCGGGCCCAGTGCAGGGGGGACGTGGAGCTGCTGGAGAGATTCCAGAGTAGGGCACAGGGATGCTCCGAGGCCTGGAGCCCCTCTGGAGCCAGGCTGGGAGAGCTGGGGGTGCTCACCTGGAGAAGAAAAGGCTCCAGGGAGAGCTCAGAGCCCCTGCCAGGGCCTRAAGGGGCTCCAGGAGAGCTGGAGAGGGACTGGGGACAAGGGATGGAGGGACAGGACACAGGGAATGGCTTCCCAGTGCCAGAGGGCAGGGATGGATGGGATATTGGGAAGGAATTGTTCCCTGGGAGGGTGGGCAGGCCCTGGCACAGGGTGCCCAGAGAAGCTGTGGCTGCCCSTGGATCCCTGGCAGTGTCCAAGGCCAGGCTGGAGCACCTTGGCCCAGTGGAGGGTGTCCCTGCCCACGAAACTGGGTAATCTTTAAGGTCTCTTCTAACCCAAACACTTCTGTGATTCATGATTCTATAAATAATTCCCTCCTCAGCTCTGCTCCTTTTTGAGCAGCTGAGCCAGGGAGGGCTCCACAGCACCTCCCAGGTGACAGAGTGGGATCCCTGTGGCTGTGGGGTGACTCCTGGTTTCTCTTGCAGCCCGCACGCTTGCTCCCTGCTACTCCGTGGATGTGCGYCCGGCCTCGGGGAGCCTGGTGTCAGCCGTGGGCTGCACCGTGCTGCTGATGGCACCTCGGCTGCGGGGCAGCAGGACTGTGTCCTGGGAGTACAGAGTCGGCATGCAGGAGGGGGTCATCCTCACCTACAGCTCTGGGCACCCYGTCACATCCCGGCGCTATGAGAACCGCACCATGTTCAACGAGTCAGACCTGTCGCTGCAGGTGGTGTTGGAGCATGGGGACAGCCGCCTCTACCGCCTCCGGTCRCAGGAGGAGGCCACAGACTGGTTCCATCTGCATGTTGTCGGTGAGTGGTGCCGTGGCTGGCTCTCCTCCGTGGCTAGCAGCCGGGATTGCTGCGGCCTGGGGTCCGCAGAGCTGCGCGTGCGAGCACTGACGGTGCCTCTGCCTCTCCCAGCGCCGCTGTCCGAGCCACAGATCGTGGGCAATTCCCAGGTGAAGGCAGGAGGCAACATCAAACTGGTTTGCAGTGTGGTGCAAGGGAAGGCAGATGCCTACTGGTGGAAAAAAAATGGGAAACTGCTCGTGGGAAGTGAGCGCATTCTGTTTGTGGGGAGGAACACCACGCTCTGCATCCTGYGGGCATCGATGAACGACAGCGGCTACTACACGTGTGTGGTGAGCAACGCCGTGAGCCAGAAYGAGACCTCCGTCCTGCTCCGGGTCCACCGTGAGTGCATTCCTTCCCTCCCCGTGCCCGGGGAAAGAGCTGCAGGAGACAGCCCGAAAAAGGGATTCTCTCACCCTGCCTGGGCTGAGCAGGCAGGTTTTGCTCAGAGGGTGTGGGTGAGGGCTTAAATTTGCTCTGGTGCAGAGGCTCTGGATTCTCCCCTTTGCAGATGCTGCCAACGTGATGCTGCCCATAGTTCTGACCTGTGTCATCATCGGATTGTTTGCAGGTGGGTGCTGGGATGGGGCAGCTGGGTGCTGGGATGAGCAGGTGGGTGCTGGGATGACTCTTTGCCCTGGTGGGTGCCATGGCAGGTGCTGTGGCCACAAGAGGTGGGTGAGAGGGTCCCATGTGACACATCCCTGCCAGGACCTGGTGTACCCACCAGGACAGGTGCTGGGCTCTGTCACAGCYGCTGTTTCCAGCAGGGTGTCCCCAATCTAAGGAGGTCCTTCTTGCCTCCGGTTTTCTCCTTGGCTTTGCCTCCCTCCTCCCAGGTGTGAGTGGGAAAGCCACAAAGCCCCCTCCTGCAGCACATGCAGAGATGATATTTGACTGTTCTGGTGTGGGGCAGCCCCCACAAAATCCAGGGGATCCCTTCTGGGGTGACAACACTGAGCCCCTGCCGTGCTCTGAGGGTTTTCTTCCCTCAGAAGGGAAAGGTGCCTCCAGTTTGCTTTTCCTCCTGTTTTGGAGCTGGAGAGTGTGTTTTCTGGCCCATTCCATCCCTCATCCTTGCCAAAGTGAGCATTTGAATTCTCAGATTGCCAGCTGCAAAAGAAACCAAGACGCCTCCATGCTTGGACCTGGATGTGGTGGTTGGGATGGAGTGAGAGGTTCTCCCTGGGGGTTTTTGTGTGTTTTGGTACCACACAAAGATTCCAGGTCTTTCCTGTGGAAAGCCTCCTGGTGCTGGGGAGGTGCTCTAAAAGCTCCTGGCYGTGCTCCTGCTCTTGTCATTCTGTCACACTCCCCTTGTCCCTGGGGACACAGGTCACATGTGGCCAGAGCTGGTGGCTGGTCCCCTCCCCAGCTGTTTAGGTGGGACCTGTGGGGCAGCATGGGGTGAGCAGGGAGGTCTTCCCCAGATCCCGAATCCCAGTCCTACATTGGGAAGGGCTGATGGGCTCCTGCATTGATGTTTCCGGGATGGAAGAGGTGTCTCCAGGATATTGAATGGAGAGGATGATGATTGATGATGGAGCTCTGAGCAGCCTGGTCTAGTGGGAGGTGTCCTGCCYGTGGCAGGGTGTTGGAACTGGGTGGGCTTTAAAGGTCCCTCCAACCCCAGCGATTCTGGTATTCTCTGATGCTGCTGCTTTGTCCCCAGGTGTCTTCGTCTGGTGCCAGAGAAGGAAGGACTTGCGTAATGAATGTTGCTGAGATGCCTCCAGCCTCCTCTTGAGGTGGCCCTGCTGCTCAAGCCAATTTACCCTCCACAAGCCCAAATTTATTCTTGGCTGTTCCAGTAAACTGGAGAAGTGGGAGAGCTTAGGGTGCTATCGCAGCCTCTCTGCTAAGGGGCTGCTSTCTCACTCCAGAGGCTCAGAGGATTTCCTGTCCCCTCTGTTTTATCCCCACTGGGATTTCCTCTGGAAATATTCCCTCTCCCAGACCCTGACACTCCTGGTTATCTTAGCTCTGGATAATGGGTGGGCTTTTGGATGCTCCGGAGATTTCTGGGAAGAGAGTGATTCTCAGGATTTTCTCAGCAATTGCTCACTCTGTGTGACCACAAATGCACTTGGGGTGTTCATTGGAGCTTCCTGGAGGCTGAGGACAAGGATGTGAGTCCCTAAGGATGGAAAACCTCTCCCATGTGGTGGTGGGTTGCAAACAAAAGAGGTCTCAGGTGTCTCATGTGCATCCCAGGGAACTTCCCCAGAGATAAATTGGTCAAGGTAGCTCCTGCAGTTTGGAGTGGGGCTGGAGTCCAGACCTGCTGCTGCTGCCACTGCCAGCATGGGACACTCTGAGCTGGCCGAGGCCACAGAGGGGTCCAAGTGGGCATGGCTCGGATGGAGACTTCTCCACGCAGGTAGAGCTAAATCTGATGTTGCCTTTCCCTGATGCTGGATGCTGCTGGGAGTGCCATGTGTCCCATCCCATCTCAGCCACTCCTGGGCTCACCTCTAAAGTGTTCAAGCTGCCAGAACCTGCAAATATATATTTTTTTTTTGAAAACACTGGTTTGGACTATTTCTGTGTAGTCYTGCTCTTCCTGTTGTGCATCCTTGGGGAGGGGGATGTACCTGCTCCATCCCTCCATCCTCCTGGCTTCCTCCAGAGGCCTGGATGGGCTGGGGGCTCTGGGAAGAGCCACTGTCCCTGCTGGGCAAATCCACAGTCCTGGAGCTGTGCTGCAGTGCCAGCCCTGCCTCCCTGGGGCCTCCTGGTGTCCTGCTGTGCCAGGGGTTTGCCAGGGGGCCTGGGAGCCTGAGGCTGTGGGCATCCTGCTCCCTGTGACCCTCGGAGGAGAAAGGACAGGATTTTCTTTGCGTCCAAAGGGGATCAGAGGCGGGGAGGTGGGGAATGGGGATGCAGCAAAGGAATTTGTGAAGTTTGTGAAAGCAAAGCCCAAAGAAATCCTTGCAGCTGCCTGATATAAGGATGCTCTCGAGCCCAACTCCTCCAACCTTGGGCTGTGCAGGATCTGGGGACATTCCTGGGGACATCCCATCCTCTTCCCAGAACGGGCACCGTGCCCCCTTGTCCTTCCCGTTTGCTGCTCCTGTGGGTGGTGGCAGCCTTGGCCTGGTTGGATACGGCCAGAGCAGCCCTGCTCCTTTGTCCCTCCTGTCCCCTCCTGTCCCCTCCATCCCTATGCTGCTCCTGCAGGGCACTCCTGGGCTTTGCTTTGGAGGGGACATTATTCCATTGGCTAAGCCTGGAGCACAGCAGGCATCTCCAACCTGGAGAGAGCTGAGTTCTCTCCCGGGGTACTGAACCCCACTGTTAGGCACCCTGGGACCTCCTTTTAATCTGATAGGGGCAGTCCCAGGTCCAGGCCCCTCCCTGACCTGATCTCCGGCACCTCTGGAGTAGGTTGGGGACATCTCCCTGCTCCAAGCCCCTGATCCAGGGGGTGTTTCTGTGCTGGGCTCTTGCCTGAAGAGTTACAGAGGCTTTCCTGGCCAGGTGACCAGGCAGTTCCCTTTCACCTTGGAGAGCAGATCTCCTGGGAGAGGCTCAAATCCCATCCTTGACCTGTCCTACACCTCTTTCAGGCAAACTGGAAAATTGTGGGAGAGATTATGAGGGGCAGTTAGCAATGGGCTGTCAGCCGGGGTTTCATGGAGCCATTAAAGGAAGCAGAGGAGGTGGGACAGAGTGAACGAGATTCCAACCTGATTGGAAGTTGCAGGGCAGGTTGTCTTGTTCTCTGTTGCACTTGAGGGTGTAAAATGTAGCCACATGTTAAAAAAAAAAAAAAAAAAAAGTTTTCTAAGTGTTTTGTAGAGTTGTCCGTGAATTGTTCTGGAGACTTTGTGCTTTGTTTGTCTGTTGATGCTAATAAAGGGTGTGTGTTATCCCAGAGGATATTGCTGTGATGTTTAGGGGTGGGAAATACCCCTCAGGGTGTCTGGAGCCTGGGGAGCACCAGGAAAGGAATCAGCCCACCTGCTGGTGGGTGGTAGCTGGTGGCAGACCTGGGAATGCTGGACTGATCCCGATGTCCGGCTCTGAGATGATCCATTGCTCTTGGGGACATCATTTGCTCTGTTGTGGGGTTCCTGCATCCCCATCCCATCCCTCACCCAGCTCCTGTGGCAGAGACAGCCTGAGGGACTTAGTTGGGACTAAAAACAGCCCAGCAACTCTGCTCCAAATCTGGCTGAGGGTATTTTTAAGCTGTCCCCATTCCCTGAGTCACGGGTGCCTGGCAGCTGCCCTGGCATTGCCCAGGGAGGAGCAGCCYACCCAGGAGCTGCRTTGGGGCTGCTCTGGGGCTCACCSCAGGGTTTTGGGGGAGCTTTGGGGTACACCTGGTGGCCTTTSGGTGTGGGGTTGTGCACCAGCAGCAGTTTGTGGTTGGAAAAACCTCCCCTGGGATGCAGGGAAAGCCTCAGTGCATTGTGACAGCCGGGAAAAACAGCCTCTGGCAAAGGCTGAGTATGAGTTTAATCCTGCCCTGCGTCAGTAAACCCCGGAGTGTGTCAGACGCCCTGGGATGTACCTGGGGAGGAGCTGTTGACAGCATCCACCTCCTCCCATCCTGTTTTTTGTGCCTTCATGTCCTTTCTCCACCTTTACTGCTGGTAAAGCCAGCATGTATTTCAAGTTACTACAGTATTTCTCCCAGAAAAGTGTGTTTCATGCTGCTCCCACATGTGTCCTACACAAAAAGCCATAAATGTTGTACTGGAAGTGGCACCAGTGCTCCCTACCTGCTCCAGGAACGAAGTAAATCCATGCTGGACAAAGCCTCCCTCTATAGCTGATCCATGAGGATCCAGAGTCAGGCCATCCCTGGYGGGGTCCCAGCTCAGGTAGAGAAATTTCTGTAGGGAGGAGCTGACTTTGGGGAGGAAATGGGTGATTTTGGATACCATAGTGAACTGAGGGACTGCAGGACAGCATTTCTTGGAGCAGCTGTTTCTGTTTCATCTGGAACCACCCTCAGATAATCTGACTTTTTATATTTCTCCGATCGATTTTGGCTTTCCCGGGCTCTTCTTTCATCCTCCACTTGAAACATCCAATGTATTTTTGCCAATTCCTGCTTACCAGACATTCCCACATTTCTTTGACTCATTTCCCTCTTCCAAGTGATGTTTGTTGTTGCTGTTGCTTGGTTTTGTGGCTCTCAGGGTGTTCTGGGGCTCTCAGGTACCCAGTGGTCCTTCCCAGAAGCCAACCTTGCTCCTCAGGGATGCGCTGGTTCCCAGGTGGGCAGTGCCCTGGGGTCCACACACCTTCTGTGGCCATCTCAGCAGCGTTTGCTGGCAGGAACAGTCCTGTTACAGCCCCTCTGGCTGCTCCATCGGCTGCTGGCTCAACTGACACCATCCTGACAGTGCAATGCTCGAGGGATGGAGCGTTGTACGGGAATGTGGGCAGAGCATGGAGCATGGACACCACAGCACACTGAGACTGGACATCACACAGCATGGACACCACATTGAGTTTGGACACAACACAGCATGGATACCATATGACCATTGCCCATGGACAGTACACTGAGCATAGACCCTGCGTTGTCCATGGACATGACATTGACCATGGGCACCATGTTGACCACAGACATCACAATGACCATGGACGTGACACTGACCATGAACTTTATGTTGGCAATGGACACCACATTGACCATGGACATCATCATCCAGCAAGGCAAAAATGTCCACAGTGTCCTGGGCTGCTGTGTTGGTTTTGCTTCTCCTGGGTTTTGGTAGCGGGGGGAACCACAAAGATGGCTTCTGTGAGAAGCTTCTGGAAGCTTCCACCATGTCCAGCAGAGCCAATCCCTGATGGCTCTGAAGATGATGGACATGCTGCTACCTAAGCCTGGGTCAATCAGAGAGGCTGGCAAGACCTCTGTGATGACAGATGCAAGAAGAAAACCAAAACAAAAGAGACACAGTGTTTTTCTAGTCTGAGAAGAGGAGGAGGTGAGAAGACGTGAGGGAAAAACAAGGAGACACGGAGGGCAGTGGAGAAGGAGGGGCGGGAGGTGCTTCATGCTCTGAGGAAGAGAGGGATTGGGGGAAAAAAAGCATGTCTTAAGGGTTTATTTAACTTCTCATTATCTTCCTCTCTCTCTGTCAGCAATAAATTGACTTTGTATCTGCAAGTTGAGCTTGCTTTGCCCTTGGAGTGTTTTTTCCAAGTTTGTTGACTCATGAGCCCTTGGCTATTTTTTTTTCTCTCCTCTGCCCAGCTGTGGCAGGGAGAGCGAGTGAGCAGCTGATGTGCCTGGCATCTGGCCAGAGTCAAACTATGACAGCTGCACAAGGAGGAGCACCACTGCTGGACCTCATGGTCTCGGAGGTCTTTTCCAACCCTGGTGTTTCCATGACACCTCAGGTCAAGGGAGGGGACCCGTCCCTGTTCGGTGCTGGAGGAGGATGGGCTGGCTGGAGAGAGTCCAGCAAAGGRYRACCATCCACAAGGGTGATCCAGGTGCTGAAACATCCCACATCCCAGGAGAGGTTGGGAGAGGCTCAGGGAGTCTCATCAAGGCGATAAATATCTGAAGGGGGTAGTAAAGGAGAGAGAGACAGGATTTTTAGTGATCCCCACTGACAGACCAAGAGGTGATGAGCATATTGATAAGAAAATTCACCCCAAATATAAGAAAACTGCCTGCCTGAGGGTGACCAGGAGGGAGATTGTGAAATCTCCATCCTGGCCAGCATCCAAAAACCACAAGGCCACGGTCCTGAGCAGCCCTCAGCAGGTCTGGCTTCGATTAAACCAGCTACTCTTTCTTTTTTAACCTTAATGATGTTACAGAAAGGTGTGAGATTGCTKTCAAGGACTCAGCAAACACAAATAAATACCCGATAAATTAATCTCATTTACTGCTCCTAGGGTAGCAGAGAAGGWGGGAAGAAGGCTCAGGGGTGTACAAACATGGGCCACACTCTTCAAGGCAGCTCCCTTCCATCCACAATCAGAGATTCTTGCAAGAGGGAGAAAATTCCCTTTGCCAAGGGCAAGACCCATCGGGTTCTGTTTGTTCCCCTTGGGCCAGCTGTGAGGTTCCCCCAAGGGCCCAGCTGCAGGAATATCTGGGATGGGGAAAAACAAAAAAAGAAGACTTAAAAAGGCCATAGAAATGATGAATTCTCACGTCCTCCCTCTGATACAGCCATGATCTCAGGTGCCAGAAGCTCACTGTGACTTTGGAATCCTGGTGGGCTGAGGTTTGGAGGCGCTCGTTGCATCATGGGTTAATTCAGACTCTGTCCCCTGCTCCATCTGCCCCAAGCAATTGGCAATTGGCAATTAGCTGATGCCAAGGCCACGATGAGCTCTGTGGCCCCCTGTGGTTTGAAGCCATAGCTCATTCACAGCTGAGTGGTCAGYCTGGCAGGTTTGTGGTTCCCTCAGATCCCAGCACTGAACCTGCCACAAGCCGTTGTTTATCYGGGGGTGAAACCATGGGATGCCCCAGGTCCATTCCCCATCCCCATTCCATTTCAATGAGCATTGTTTTTGTCTCCATCTTACTTAACTCCTG